ATGTCCTTATTTTATTTTATAATAACATTTATAATGAAAACATTTTAAATATCTGGCCTCATTCTATTTTTACATTTAGAAATACACAAACTATGAATTTATTATTGAACTTGGCCTCCCTTACATATATTCTTCAAGGGCACTTATGATCAAACATAGAAATCAACAATCGCATTTCACAAAAACATATACAAAGACATTTTAGGAACAGTTGACTTAAAATGCCAAGGAAGGCTCTAACCTAAGGACAGAAGTAAATCAAAAGGTATCACATTTATTATTTTGGAGAGTCAGATCTTCACTATTTTTTACATATGAGTTCTAAGAGGAGAAATTCCATCTCCTTTTACATTAGGATACTTAGCACCTACACCATGTAGAGAGAGTCTTAAACACTGAGCTTCAGACAAGACTTTATGGAATAAAATACATATCAGGAAAATAACAACAAATGAAAAAATCATTTAATCTGTGTTTTCTCTAGGTTTTATTGCTTAACCTATGTTGGTGCAAAAAAGGAAAGAAGTCCACTTTCATTATAGCAACAATCACAGCAATCACAGCAGGAATGTGAATAAAATGAATAAAGAATCCACAGATGAAATGCCTTTGTACCCATGGAGTAACTGCTCAGTCAAAATGGTCCAAAGGCATTTTGCCAAATGAAAGGACATACTGGGAATCCAAAAGCTTGAACCAACATTTGTACTACGACTATTGGCTTTTCTCCACACTTCTCCTATCTTCTATCTAAGTTATAGTTTCACTGCTACATCTAAATTAAAAAATAGTTTCCCTGTACGTTTCAAAATACTGTGATGAGAAAAATAAGGCAAAGACTTGAAAAATGCATCACCTGCATATTTAGAGTGGTAACAGCATGAGGCCAGGATCCATCAATAACCATCTTGGTCAAATATGGATTAATCAGGCAATCTGCCTGGAATCAGTTTCCAGATTTATAAAATGATTTTTAAAATAATGCACAATTAACTGGACTATAAGTAATTTGTCTTACGTATACTAGCATAGTTTCTCTTTCAGCAAACTGCATGGCTATACTTCTGCCTATTAGTCTATTAGCTTGTCTTACTGATTTATATAGATTCTTCATAAATTCTGGATACTTAACCTCCACTGACAAATGCCAATGTACATAGACTCTTCTTTCTGTCAGTTGTTGTTCATTATCTACCCAGTTCTTTATTATGCTATTTCTTTTCTTCAGTAATATGTAGTACGAAAGCTAAGTGGATGCGAATCATTTTTTGTTAATTTATTATTTGCTTCTGTGACTTAACTTTGTATTTTGTAAGTAAGTGTTAAGTAAATGTCTGTAAGTAAATGTTTTATTTTCTAATTAAGTGATATATACACATACATCAGTCTATACAACTTTTATAATACATTAAATATGCGACCATGCACTTAAATATATACATTAAATTTAAATATGCACTTAATTATATTATATTACACTTAACTATAACAGATTAAAATACAATAATTATAATTGTAATGATAATAGCACCATAGGACTGTTGCATCTGTTAAATAAAATATACTTTGCAAACTATCACTTAAAAAGTATGACAGAAAATCTCTCATAGAAAAGTCATTCACAACTCTACCTCTAAAAGAGACATCTAAAAAATGACTCATTCACAAGCCATCAAAATTTTCATTAAATTAATAATAACCTGAAAGTTCTCAGGAATCACCTCCAACCTTAATTTATGGCACCCCAATGGGAAATCTGTTCTACCTAGGGATTCCCCATTGGAACTTCCTCTATGAAAGTGTCAATTCTAATGAATTACACTCTCAATCCTACTGTTTCACAAGATGAGAGGGAAGCTTTAAGAGCCTATGTTAAATTCCCTGCTGAAAGTGGCCGTTACTTTCCAGACTGACTTGCAGAGAACTGTACAAATAGACTTGTAGGACTTACTGTTCTTTATTAAGAAAGTGACAAAATTTCTGCCCTTTGTTATAGTATATTTCATCAGTCCCATGATTTTACATGTACTTCGTGACATTTTATTCAGTCTCTACATAATTTACATCTTCCTCATTTATACAATCTCCTTTAATAGCGTGATCCAGATTAATATAGTACCAAAGACTAGAACAGAAATTACTTAAAAAGAATTCACTACATAATTTCAAGTCAAATTTTTCATGTGTTTGTTACTAAACATAACTTAAGTCAGAAAATCAGCAATGTAGAGTTTGGTAAGCAGAATAATAGTTCTCCAAAGATATCCATTCCTAACCATTAAAGCTTGTGTATAGATTACCCTACAAGACAAAGGAAACTTTGCATATGTGATTAAGTTCAAAAACCTTCAGATGGATATATTTTCCTGAATTGTCCAGATAGACTCAATCTAATCACAGGAATCCTCAAAAGAGAAAAAAGTGAGTCAAAAAGATGCAACTTGTAGGGCCGGGGATTTAGCTCAGTGGAAGGAGGCTATAAGCCAAGCAATGTGACACAGCCTATAGGAGCTGGAAAAGGCAAAGAAATATGTCCCTCCTAGAAAGGCCAGGAAAAAGCATACCTCTGCCAGTACTTTGATTTTTTAATCAAAGTACTGTTTGATTTTTGACCTGTATGATTTTTGACCTACAAAACTGTGCGATAATAAATTCATGTTGCTTAAGCCACTGCATTTGTGTGAATATTAAACTATACACAAAAAATATCTAACTTATTTTTAGCAAAAAAAAAAAACAAAAACTGATTAGAAGAGCATACTCTGGAGCCCATATCCTGAGTTGAAATAAGGTCTGCCACTTACCACCTTTATAATTTTAAGCCAATTATTAACCTCCATATGCCTCAGTTTTCTCATCTATAAGTAGGGCTTCTAATATTTTAATAAATAATATATTTACTTTCTTTTTCATTCACTCACAGAAAAATTATAAAATCAACTCTCCAAAATAGTCAAGGAAGGGGTGGGGATTTAGCTCAGTGGTGCCACTGCCTGCTTTGCAAGTGCAAGGTCCTGAGTTCAATCCCCAGTACCAAAAAAAAATTAATTAATTAAACAAAATAGTCAAGGAAATAACCCCTTCTAGAAAGAAATCTTTGTACATATTTCTAAAAGCCATTTTCTTAATGGTATCTACTTCATTAAACTACGATATGGTTCTTCAAGAGTTGTTCCTAATAAGGCCAAAGTGTCACCGTGAACTCTACCAAGTAACCAATGCTTACCGTAGGATCTGACAGGAAAAGTGCTCATCAAAAAGTAAAGGCTACTTATTAAAAATAATAAATGTAGCAAAATTAGTTTCTACTTGAATTGGGCATAATTGCCATTTTTCATTTATGTGATATTTATACTGTACTTTCATTTAAAAAGCCTGCCACATCATTTCATTATCAATTAAAATTTTTGACTCAGCAACATTTACAGAAATTAATATAATCAAGCTAAGGAGCAATGATTCACATGACAAAAACTCAAAGATGTAACAATTGGTAACTTCCAAAAAACTACAGAGGTAAAATATAAATCAAAAGTGTAAAATATTTTTAATTCATAACTACACTCCACAAAATTTCAAAGTATTGTCAAACCCTGAAAAGCAATAGTACATCAGAAAAAGATAAAAAGAATAAGCCTTTTCTAACTTTATGGAGACTAAACTAGAGTATAAACTTTTTTAAGGTATCATAATAAAAATTAGTGTTTGGAACTTTCTAAGAACTCAGTAACTTAGTAAACTGACCAAAGAAAAATTTTTATAAAACAATTTCTATAATTTTCTCCAGTAGAATAAACTTCAAGATTCCAAGCCTAAATAACCCTAAATTTAATTAAATGACATTTTAAAGGCTAATGAAATACGTCCTAGTAACAATGACATATTGTTAAGCTTTCAAAACAAATACATTTTTTAGTTACACAAATGTATTGATTGAATCCAAATTAGTCTAACTTTTCTACTTTCACTTTATGGTAAGCTCTACAAAATTGTAGATCTTAATTAGATCTAGTTAGATCTTTTTTTTTTTTTTTTTTTTGGTACCAGGGATCGATCTCAGGTCCTTGCACTTGCAAGGCAGGCGCCAGAACCACTGAGCTAAATACCCGGCCCAAGTTAGGTCTTAATTAGATACAAACTAATATCTAGAAAGGTGATTAACCCACATAAGTATTTTTTTGAAAGAGACTTAGGATTTTGGCTGCCACATGGGCACCTGAAAAGCATCACACAAGGTACATCCAATCCTTGCATTCCCAACCAAAAGCTGCAAATATGCTGAGAAACCCTTTGCAGAGATCCAGAAACTCTCTAGTTCTGGCTAAAGGGCACCCCCGACAGATGGGGCAGGTTTAAGCTACTCCAGAAGATTCCCCTAAATCTTTACATTCATCCATCAAAGTAAACCCCTCCCATTCTTAACCTTAAACATATACCAAAATGGCTCTCTTGCCTTATTCAGCAGGACACTAGATTACCCCCCTAAAAAAACTAATTTATGGATATTTCTTCAAAATGTGTTCTGTTTGTACACATGTGTGAAGATACATTAGGAAGTAGTGAGGCCACTAGAAGATATAAAAGGAAACAAGTCAGAGGACAGGAGTCACAAACTTAAAAGCTCTCAAGAACTGGCAATGAAATGTAATACATGAAACTAGATAAAAGCTCATAGGAACAAGAGAGGTTATAGAAACCAGAAAAGTACATGCTCTACCAAAAAGCACTCAAATGCAACTTTAGCAATTCAAACAGTGCTAGTGAAACAAAACATCCACAGCTAGAATCCACAGGCAGGCCATGGTTAACTGCCAGTTTTCAACCCTGATAATGCAACAGGCCCAGCCAATGGTTGTATACTGTATTTCCTGTGAGGGTCACAGATGGCTCATCACAGACTCCAAGGCCCTCCCTGCCCTAGCCACACCAGCCCCCACAGTTTTTTCCTAGGCTTTGTAGCTATACTAAAAAGTTCAATGACTGAATAATGAAAAACTTACCAACTGAGCTTCCTGCAGTAGAATACTGAGCAGTATCTAGAAATTTTCGTGGAGTAGGGAGATTTGTAACATCAATCAGAGGGCCAGGAGAGGTATCCTTCACATGGGTGCTGCAGAGGAGAAAGAGCAGCAGTTAGCACTTTCTCCAAAAACCAAATGAAATGCCATTCAGTGCCCACCCCTTATCACTTTCCTTTTGATAGTGACCCTTCTTTATCCTGTGACTTCAAACATCTCCCAAGCATATTCCCACTAAGTGGTAACTGTCACATCCAGGGATATAAATACATATTCTAAGTGTTCCAAGTACTTATTTTCCTTTTTCACTTTGATGCTTCTTTAACAAAATTACTATAAGGATATCCTGGATCATCTGAATGTTCACCATATAATGATATAATATGCCAAACAATTGTACTACCCTCCTTTGCATCTGTATTAAAGATTATTTTATCCCCAACAAAAGTACAAATGACACTATGTCAAGATAATTAATGAAGGTTTAACAATACTTAAACCTTGTCTAGACTTGTGTTTTTCAAGTTAGTTTTTGAGATATTTGGGGATTCACTACTTTCAGTTGTTTTAAAAGAGACTCACCGGGCCGGGGATTTAGCTCAGTGGTTTCACCGCCTACTGCACAAGCGCAAGGACCCAAGTTTGATCCCCAGTACCAAAAAAAATAAAAAATAAAATAAAATAAAAGAGGCTTATCAATTTCAACAAGTTGAGAATCACTACAATAAAAGCTGATTTAAGAAATCTCTAACAAGTTTATTTAGTATATACCTTTTTCAATAATACCCTACCCTCTCATCTTGATGATTAAAACATGCTGATTTTAAATTATGCAAAGATTATACAAAACACAATTAAATTTTCAAGGTAACTCATTATTCAAAAGCACTTATAAAGTACAAGAATGTAGGCAATGCCAAGGCAAATGAAACCTGGGTCCTGCCCCTCAAAAAGCTCAATCATCTACTCATACTGTATCTACCACAGAAGAGCTTGTCCAAGTCCACTCTCAATGGTATGGAAGCCAAGGCCACAAGTCTCACTTTTTTTCAGTCTAGAAACACAACAGCAGTAGACTTGATTTTCAAAGTAGATCAAAAAGGAAGAGTAGGCCAAGGGTGGCAGGACCACCCACACCCATGGGAAGGATCTCTCCAAACAGGATGGAGGGATGTATACAACTGTATACACCTGAATCCCTCCCGCCAAGAGTGAATATATCCCCATCTCCTTCCCACACTGCTTTTGGTATGTGAATATTTTAATTCATTTATGTTTTTTGTAGTGCTTAGGATCAAACCCAGGGCCTTATATATGGTAGGCAAGCAGTGTACTACTGAGCTATACCATCAACACTGTGTTTATTTTTAAAGTAATTTTATTTTTATGGCACCGGGGATGGAACTCAGGACCTTGTGCTTGTAAGACAGGTGCAGCACCACTGAGATAAACCCCCAGCTCTTTTAAAGTAATTTTTTAAAGGCATGTTTTCAGAAAAAATTTTTTACAACAAGCTTTGTTAAAAAGCAAAATTATCACTTAAAGTATTACTATTTTTACTGTTAATAATGTGTGAACCATTGTCCTAATTCTTGAGGATGATTATTAACAGTCATTCACTTGTTCCTTTTCCTTTGTTAAAGGAAAGGGGGAACCATTACTCAAACAATTCTTAAGCATCAGTTAGTGTTCGGCACTGTGCTCAGTGCTAAAGAAGCAAGTATGAAGAAGATAGGAGCTAAACCAAACTTAGCAGTATTCAAATAGTTACAGTCACTCACAGGTTAACACTATATAAAACTCAAATGCAGTATAAGATATAAAAGTAACAAAAACAGCATTTAGCAGGAATTGAACTGGCATAGTTTCAGTAACTCTTTTCTACCAAGTTATACATTATCTAAATTACCTTAAGAAAACCCAAAAGTCCTGAAATCCAATGGTATATCATAATTTATATTTTTATAAAATCAACTAGATCCTAGATTTATCATTTTTCATCTTTTCTGTCTACTTTGGTTGTCTCATTTTTTTACTCTCAACTACATCACCCTCTTTTACATGAATTTTATTCACAATTAGAAAACCAGCTTTACACATTGCTCTATCCCCCAAGAAAACACATGCCTACAAAAACAATCACTGAGGTTTACAGTGCCATTACTGAATAATTAAGAAAAAAATTAACTTCAATTTTATATAACAGAAAAGTTGTAGAATTCATTTTATAAATATTTAAATAACAAAGTAGTGGAGTTATCTGTAAAAGAGGATAAGTAACAGCAGTAAAATTCAGATATATGTATAGCTGGAATACTGCCTGCCAAGCCTAATTAATAATAAAGCAATACAGTTAGTGCATATTGTGTGTGCACAATGATATATGTATACACATGGGTATAATAGCATATACTTCTATGAATACAGATGTGCATATATAATTCACTTTAGATGAAAATCTATGATTATTTTCTCAGTTTTAATCTACAAAATGTGCTTCAGTTAACTACAGAGTAACAAACAGTTTGCCATTTCAACCTTGAAAAGCATAACCTCTCAAATATAATCAGAGCCAGAAGGGTCCTCAAACTCCATCAATAAACTTTTAGAAAAAAAGTCAATTTACTGCAAAACTATCTTCATAGACTCATTCCCCTCCCTCTCTCTAAACTTTTCCACTTAGGCCTCAATTTTCTCCTTTGTGAACACTAACAAAAAGACAGGAAACTCTGGAAATAATTTTTAGGTTTTGTTTTTTTCTTGTTCTCTGGAAGGATTAAGTTTCAAAAGTTCCAGAAAAAAGGGCACACACTCAGTCATCTAGTGACTACAGGCATGAAGCTCAGTAGAGAAGTAGGTATTGATATACACAGAGTATCATAAAATATTAGGGACCATATTTTTCATTTCAAAAGAGAGAAAAAGACCTCCTCTTACCACACATCATAGATGAAGTTCAGAAGGTATTAATTCCTTTAAAGAGTTATGAATCTCTCAAAGTATTTTAGAAAACAAAAAGTGAAATTAAAAAATGTATTGTTCTTTTTAAGTTTGTAATATGAATGCTCTGAACTGCTTTGTTTTGAAAGAAATAGTATTGAGAAGAGCTATTTTATTTTTAAACACTACACATGATTACAAACTTTTACTTTAAATCTATTAAAATCATTCATACCTAGACAACAGCTAAGGTACACTAAACCCCACCTGGAATAATACATAATAGTTGCACCAAAATCAATTCTATATTGTGAGTGCATGTGTTTTTCTATTTAATAATATAGTGAAGGACAGGAAAACTATAAAGCAAATTAACCTGCACTAAAAACAAGCAACTACGGCCACCATAACCCAAAGGACTTTTTGGCCATTAATCAACCATCCAACTAGTAAGGATGTGCCTCTAAATATGCTCGATTTCAAAATATCAATCCATGAAAACTGTTCCTTTATTAAAAAGAAGGGTTAGAAGTGCTTAACAGCTTATGAAACATTTGCTTTTTTTTTTTTGGTACCAGTGATCGAGCTCAGGACCTTGTGCTAAATCCCCGGCCCCATTAGCTTTTTTTTTTTGGTACTGGGGATTGAACTTGGGTCCTTGCACTTGGAAGGCAGGTAGTGGAACCACTGAGCTAAACCCCCAGCCCCATCCATTTGCTTTTTAATTAGAGCATATTTCTGTTCCTTCACTTAGTAGTAAATGAGCCCAACTATGTCTGAAATTTATAGCTGTAGCTCATTTGGCTGATTTTATTGTCAAACCAGAGACTGAAAGAGGTGAGCAGAACCCTAAGCTGTAAATCTAGTTACTAATATATTCACCTCTATAACCAGAACAGCTGGCAGAGTACCTGTCATAAAGGTATGCTGAATCAGACTGAGCTGAGAAATATCTTTCAAAGATAATTTCCCCTTAATAAGAAAATTTAACTGAAAGAATAAAACAGGAATGGCTAACATAATAATGCTATACAGTTCTAGGCTCAGGCTGAACATACAGAAGGAGTAATGAGTGATTTAGAGGATGTGAAAGTTTAAAAGAGCCATGTTTTCAAATGACAGACCAAGAGTGAAGACGGTAATAGAAAATAAAGTGATGTTAAAAAATTTGAAGTCTAAGCAATGAAAGGGGGAAAAAAGAACTAAACAATAATGAGAAAACAGACTTGAAAACAGAAACATAAATTTAAAAATAAAAGAAGAACTAAATAATACAGTGGAGAGACGAGTACGGACACCAAATCAATGGGTCTGAAATATTCTCCTTCACTAGCTAGAGGATGTCCAAAGAAGAGAGGTTAAATCCAGTAACCTAGGATATGCAATAAAGGATTGACCATTATTAATAATGTTTGCTTGATTTTATACACTTATAAAGGTGTATGTTCTTTTTAAAAAAATACTGTATAAAGAAAAACTATCCATTAATATCATCTGATGTAGTTCCTTTCAAAATATTCTACATACAAAATCTGTCAATCTACCCCATACACACACACACACACACACACACACACACACACACAAAAGGCACACATGCTGTTTTCAATCTTCTTTGAATTATTCTGTATAGTTAATCCTAATTTTCCTCTTCAACATTAAAATCTAAACATTTTCCCATTCCACTTAAAATCTTCAGGGCCAGGGATTTAGCTCAGTGGTTCCACCGCCTGCCTTGCAAGCGCAAGGTCCTGAGTTCGATCCCTGGTATCAAAAAAAAAAATCTTCAAACTTATCATCAATCATTATAGTGCCATTAAAGTAAGACATGTTCTGGGCTGGGGATTTAGCTCAGTGGTTCTGCCGCCTGTCCCATAAGCGTAAGGACCACAGTTCGATCTCCGGTACCAAATAAATAAATAAATAAAATAATACATGCTCATGGTGCAGAAAAGGAAGTCCTTTTTTGTTCTTCATTCCCCATTTCTACTTCTCACAATTAACTCCTTATGAGTGCTTTGATATTATCCTCCCAGGCATTTTCTATACACAAATATCTATGTCTATATAGAGAAGATAAATGTTTAAATATCTATCCATGCAATTTTTACTCACTGAGTTCAAATAACATACTGCAGTTTTCAACTTTTCTTGACCCAATAATACATCTCAGAAATGTTACCAAAACAGCACGTACAAATCCTTCTCATTCACTGTAAGGTGCAGTATTACATGGAATGAATACATCATAATTCATTTAACCATACTCTTCTTAATGAACATTAAAGTACTGTGGGTTTTTTTGTTCTTCTTACTAATAATGTAATGAACATATATATATTGAAAACATATATTGAATACATACATATATTGAATGTTGTAATGAACATACATATATTTTAATAATGCAATGAATATCCTATTATATATATTGACATAAACTGTTATTTTTGCTGCATATAGATTTAGAAATGAAATCCCATGGTCAAAAAATACACAAATTTTTATTTTCCAAAAAAAGTATATTAGTTATGTAACTACAAAGAGAGAAGTATTCATTTCTCCTATCCTTGCCAATACAGCACTCTATGGATGTCCTTAACTTGATCATCTGATGATCAAAACCCTGCATTTGATTTCTCAAAGTTGGATATCTCTACTCATGATATTATATAATTTACTGTTAATTATTCATTTACATTTTTTAAATCTATGAATTACTTATCTATTTTATATTTTAGGTATTAAATCTTTATATGATATAAATACATTTCTCAGTCTGTTTTATCTTTTGGATCTTTTATACTGTAGATTGAGTTTTTAAATAGTTAAATTATTTAATATTGGTCTTTATGTTACTGATAGGCTTTGAAAAGCTTCAACACATATTCTACTGTATTTTTTTCTACTGCTAGTAGTTTTATCATGTGGTTTTTAAATCTAATTAGAATTTTTTTATATAAAAAAGCTAAGTACATAAATTTACTTTCTTCAAATCAACAGCCAACTGGCTCAGCACTATTTACTAAATAGCCTTTATCTCCTATCTCTCCACTGAACTGAACTACTGTTAAAAAATTCTAAAGTCTTATGAATCCTGGGATTGGTTTCTGAACTGCTTAGTCTCCGCAATTTGATTTTCTGCGCATGCCTGCATGTATAGCTTAAAGTAGTGTTACAATATACTTTAATATCATGCAGGAAAACTACCTTCCCATACCATGAAACAATAATGGGGAGCTACATATTTAAATATATATCTTCTCTATATAGACATAAATATTTGTGTATAGAAAAAAATTCTGAATTTTTTAAACAATGCTTACATTCTCATATTTACTCTTCCATATGAACTTCACATTTTATTTAAGTTTCAAAAACATCAACTGGGATTTAATTGGAACCAAAATCGTGAGCAAGCATGTAGGCATATACCCTCTTATGTATCAATTATATGAGTAGTCTATTTTCTATTTCAAAAAGCTCTGTTCTTCATATGGATATGCCTCCAGGGGATTTGCCTTGTTTTCTCCTGTAGTAGAATTTGTTGATGTTTGTTTGTAACCATTTACTTGAAATATATATATATATATTCTGTCTTTATATTTGGACTGAATCTCTACTGTTGAGCAAAGTGAAAAGAGAGCCTGACTTCCTACTGTGGAAGCTGAAGGAGACCAGATATGGCCCATCCTTCTCAGCAAATGTATGCTTCTACACACAACTTTAAATTTTCAGGAGATAAAAGAAAGGAGAACATTTAGCAATTATTTACAGGGGAATTTTAAATCCAGCCATGATAGGCAGGGTGCCAGCCACGGTAGCGACCCCACCAGACCCTTCCTGTGATTGTCTAATATTCTGCACTCAGCTGCTTAAATCTGCCTTGGTTCCTATTGGGATTGAGAACACGATTATGCAAACTTCCTACAGATTCTGTGAAATACCAGGTAACTTTGTAAGAAATTCCTTTTTTCTTTTAGTTATCAGGACTGATTTCTGCTTTTTGCAATCAAGAGCCTTAGCTGATACATTATCTTTTGAAACAGAGAATATGGTCATGTGAGTCTGTCTTCTCTAGTGATTTTTAAATACATAACCTTTAAATATAAATATCTAGACTAATAAAACACAATTCATCCCATACCACTACCATTTTAGTATAATCATCTTGAATATCTAAAATCACTGAATTGGTCATTCCTTTCCATTTTTCATATTTATCACCTTTCTTTCATCATCTTGTCTTTTTCCTCTTTATGAGGAAAAAAGTTCTCCCTGTACCCCACTGACTCAATTCTTCTCTTTTATGCTTTAAATACTTAAATTTCTTTACTTCATTTCTTGTTTTTCTTACATTGTATTCATGTTTCAGTTCTCTTAGCATCTCTCCCTATTGCATTCTTATAGCTCCCCATTATTGTTTCATTGAACCTATATATGCTTGCTGCATACAACCACAACAGCTCACTGATATCCAAGAATAAGCACCTATTTTCTATTTTAGAGACTACCTGATTGAATGTGGTTGGCTCTGTTGGTTCCTGGTGTTTCTCTTTTCTTCCTCCTGGGAACACAAGCATGGCAATGGCAGAGGCACAAGAGGGCACACTCACCAGCATAAGCACATTTCAAGCTTCTGCTTATAACACGTCCTAATGAATCACAAAACCAAACACCCAAAAAATCAAAAGGTAGAAAGTGTAATTCTCCCATTCAAGTGGAGAGAAAGGAACAGTTATTATAAACAATCATCAAATCTACTATATCATGCTTCTTTTTTTTTTTTTTTTTGGCACCGGGGATCGAACTCAGGACCTTGCGCTTTCAAGGCAAGCACCGGAACCACTGAGCTAAATCCTCAGCCCAACTTCATGCTTCCTGTTTCCTTTGAGAAACCTCAAGCTTAAATCTCCTGAATTTTTGTTTACTTTACAAAACTTTTTTCAAGCAAATATTCTCTCTTTTCGACCTCAAAGTAATGTTCATTTTCCCCTTATGATACAGAAATTTACAAAGGACTCACAATGATTTTATTATTTATCCTTGCATGGTAAGAAATCTATTCAGGTCTTGTATGTACAACCAGGCACTAGAAAAATTTTCCTTAGAATCACACACACACACACACAAACACATATGCACACACATACTATACTCTCTGCTAAAAGGATTAACTAATAGCTTCCATATTCGGATCTAATCTTAAAGATACCTTCAAGTATTCACTCCCTAGCTCAATTTCTGTGCCTGGCAAAACTTTTTCTAGTCTCTATATGCTGAAAAGAAGTATAAATGTCTCTTTCTCTATCAGGGTCTCTGACTAAACTGAAGCATCATGTACAAAGTTGACACATTTTGTTCAAACAGGATAGGGCTTGAAAGACATCATTCCTGGCATTCCCTACTTCCAGTGTTCTTTTAGTATAGAGCTGGACAAAAAAGCATAAACATGTGTATTTTAGTAGACAGGGCTAAAAATCCCCTCTGAAAAGACTGTATGGCTATTTAAAGGAATGTCACATGGATACCTACTATGCACAACTATCTGATACATGTTCAAAGCCTCAATATTCTACTATTTTAAGATCTAGTCCTATTCCCTACCAGGTCTATACTAACCTAATAAATTTCTTGGCCCCACCCAGACCCTTAAATATAGGGCTACTTTGTAATTGCCCATAGGATAAAAGAAAAATGTTCTCTTTGAACCTCTCCTGAATTATTCCAGGAGGGAAATTGCCCACAGTTAAACATAACCCTAAGTAATAAAGACACTAAAACTTTAGTTCATATATCTATATTTCTTGGGGGTTTTTGGGGGGTTTTTTTGGTACTGGGGATCGAACTCAGGTCCTTGCGCTTTCGAGGTAAGTGATGGAACCACTGAGCTAAATCCCCGGCTCCAATATATCTACATTTCTTAATTCAGCTGACTTCACTGTCCAATTTAAGGATTTTTAACTTCCTTCTAAGATATGCAAAAGTGTCTCTTATCCAGTATATGAAAGGTCCACAGGAAATTTTTCCTACATATCCTTACTGAATAATACTACATAAATGTACAATGAATGAACAGACAAACTTTGATGTCAGTTTCTCAAAACATGAAGCATCTGCTATTGTAAGTCCATCTTCAAGTTTCAGAGATAGTACATTAAAGAAAAAGTAAAATACACTACAATATTATAGAAAAAGAATAATTCTTCCAATAATTGCCACAAGACAATTTAGCAAAGAAGTCCTTTAACCAACCTCATTTTCCCTTTTTCCTTGTTATGCTGCACAACTCGGCTAGTGGATTTGATGTACAAGTGCCGGTGCAGTTCATCTATGAGAACCAGGTGGAGGTTCATCTTCTTGCTGTGAAGCTCCAGCCTGAGGTCACTCAATCCTTCCACCTGGAGCAGCGGACCCTCCAAAGACTCTACTGCTGACACCTGAAAAGTAAAACAAAAAAGTCTTTTAAATACAACTAAATAACCTAGCAATATTATAAATAAGAAAAAAAGACATGTTTAAGGTACTCTTGAAAGCAAGTTTGAGAACTCTATCAGCATACATCAGGTTTTGCATAGTATCATGTAGATAGACCTACTCTTGCCCTGAAAAAGTTTATCTAAGATACTGATACTTAATCTTCTTACAGAAAATTTGCCTCCAAATTTGAAGGTGGAAAGTCACTGGAATAAATAAAAAGGAAACAATTCATGGTCTTTTATATTTTCAGTATGCATGTTAAGAATTATGTACAAAGTGAAATGTCTGGGGCCGGGGATTTAGCTCAGTGGTGCCACTGCCTGCCTCACAAGTGCAAGGTCCCAAGTTCGATCCCCAGGACCAAAAAAAAAAAAAAAATAGAGAGAGAGTGAAATGTCTGTAGTGATCCTCAACACAACCAATAAAATCTCAAATATGAAAGACAGGAAAAAAAGTTTATCTAAGAAAAATAAACAGAAAATTCTTGACAAAAATAAATACAAAAACATGTACAGCACCACAACAAAGCTGAAGTACTATTTCCACACACATTGCTTATCGAAGGACATGTGTACACATACACACAAAGGTAAGTACGTCTTTTACATGAATGCTAAAAGTGGAAAACAGCAACCATCCCCACTTCCTAGACTGACTCAGTTTGATAGAAGAAACAGGACTTGAATTGTGAATACAAGATAAACTATAGAGAGGACGATATAACTGGTATAAAGTAGTTTGGAAGATTTTAAGGATAAAAAACACTGAATCAATCAAATTGGGGTAAATCAAATTTTCCATTTCCAAGAAATGGAAAAAATAAAGAGTTCTGGGAACCGAAAGCTACTGACTTTGAAACTCTGTAACTTCAAAGGAGAAAAAAAGCATAAATGGTATGATCCTGTTTATTCATATTCATAAAATAATATTTGTGTGTCGAAAAATAAAAATATTTTCTATCTTTTTAAAGAAAACAGTGAAGCAAATACTCTACTATTCTTTGAGAAGAAAAAAAGATAAAGCAGGAAACACAAGGAAGTTAAAAGAAAAAATAAGAACAATAGTAAAAAAATGATTATAACCTAAGCTTGGAGGGAAAAGAGCAAACCAACTTCTTGAGGGCAGAAGGCCTATGACTATTCTCTGCTTAGGTTACACTTGTAAATATTCTTAACAGGTACAGACGAAGGCAGTAACTAGTAACACTATCTACTTCTGGGTAAAACCATTAAATTAATTATGAATACAAAGATGCCCTAGAAAAATAAAGCATTTACAACAAAGCAATAGATAATACAAACCTTGAAACACACTGATAAGCACAAATGTTGAGTACAGATCTGACACTCTAAAGACGCATCTAGGAGTTTGTTAACATTGAATTCAGAAACCTTGGAAGCTGCCAAATACAAACTAGCATGAAACAGTTAAACAAAAAGTGGCAATGGCTAACCCACAAACACATCACTTGTTTTGTGATGTGCTATAATCAAATGTCAGTAACAAATAAGTTCCCTTAAGTTAAGCAAGAAAGAATCAAGGAATGGAAGAGTGACAAGCCCTGGGCCAGCTCTGCCCTCTGAAGCCTGCAGTTCATTTTAATGCTGACTTGCAACTGCCCCTGCTACCAGAGCCCCTGGGCCCTGTGCAAGCTGCCAACAACTCCAAATGGAAAGGCAGCCTCACAAAATGACCAAAGTGTCCCCAAGGAGAAAAAAAACAACAATAAATTCATTTACACTTATGCCCTAAAATGGATTTTAACTTGGGTCTCTAGCAAAGAAAAGAGGATGCATTAACCTTCAGTGACATCAAGATCCAGAAAATAAAAAATAATTTGGTAAACCACTGGCCCATCATGTAGCCTTATCCCTTAAGGTAATTAAATCCAGCTGAGATATTTAAGCCTCCAAACAATCCACTGCACAGCCGCACTTGATTTGTTGGTAGGAATTTGCATGAACATTTTTAACCCAAACAATTCATGTTCCAAACACAAAATCACATGACAACATCAACTTTCAGAAATACAAATCAAATTTTTTTTTTAAATTCAGGAAAAGCACTTAACACAGGGCCTGGCAAAGTACCCACAGAAGTTCTTTTTAACAGTACCTGTTTATTCTATGGATAAACTTCAGAGAAGATTAACACGGTGTTTTAATGCAGCATTTTCAGTAAATATCCTTTCCTTTAACAAACTAAAATAAGCACTTAAATGATAAAATTTCTCAATTAGTTTCCTTGACCCAAAACTCAAGTACAATTAACATGTATTTTAATCAAGGGTAGTCTTAAAACTTCAAACTTCTTTTTTTGTATTAAATTCTTTTATTGGTAAATTGTAGGTATACAACACAATTACATTTCTCATTGGGAACTGTACCTTTACATAATGCATCCTGGGTCTTATTTTTTCCCCATTCCTAGCCCTCCCTTCACGCCCTCCACCCTTCCCTATTTACAAAGACTTTATTTCCATTTTTTCCATTTCTCAT